AAGCATTTTGTTGTTCTTTGACAATCTTTCTGGCCAAAGGATATCTGCATTTTAAGTGTTATTATAAAATAAACAGATCTAATCATCAGAGAAGACAGTTATTATTAAGAACATTATTACTTGTGTGTTACCACTTAACAGCATCTACAGACATGGAACTCAAAAGCAAATTCATTTGCATTTGACAATCTAAATGGCTTCTCATCTATTAGGTAGCTATGATTTAAAAACCTTATTTGTTTCCAGAAGGTAGATATAAGGCCCTCTCCTGTGGTAACAGTGGAGTCACTTCCAAGCTCCTTGAAGGCTCCAATTTATGTTTACTAAGCAAACATCTGTAGCATCTGAAGAGTTAATGGATGCTTGTTACCACTTCTGCTGGAGATCGCCAACCTTGCAGCAAAACCAATAGGACACAGCACAGACCCATACCTCCATTACTCCACCCCACAGTAGCATGTCTTCAGGTAAATCTGGTTTTGTCAGGGGTTTAAGCCAAACAGCAGATCAAAATGCATGAAACAGCTCACTCTCTTCTGGGGATGATACTTTTGGCGATAAGTAAAAAAGGAGACAGGTAACTTTAAAATAACCACCACAAGAGTCATTGGAAGTAACACAGCAGAACCCTAAGAAAAGCTGCATTATTCTGAAGATATGTCTGGGCTAATCTACCAGTTAGAAATATTTCAGTTCTTTTTTTCTTTTCCTTCCTGAGGAAGCAATTAAAAACAAGCAGCTGGGCAATATCCCCACAGCAGACAAATTTGGAGTTACTCAAGCAGCAGTTTTTCTGAATTGACTACAATGTCACACAAATTCCACCATTCATGCCACAAGAAGGAACAATACATATAAATGGATAGCAGTACTGCTTTGGCTGAGGTTTTTTTTTTTCACCATATAGGCAGAAATGAACTTTTATACTGCAATGAAGTAGATAGATCGATCGATCGATCGATCGATCAGGTAGTTGTACAAAAATCACATTGTTAACAATTGTTATTGTTAACTTCAGGCACTCAAATAAATTAATTGTACAAAAAAATGCAGTAGTTGTATTACTGTTAGAATTGAAATACACTAATACGATGAAGATATCAAAAGAGAGAGCTGTCTCCTGCCGGTAAGGTAAGGCTCTCTCTGAACTACTTTTCAAAGCATTTGGTTTAAATTGAGTTCTGGTATATCAGGCATGGAGCAATTAGTGAATTAGATGCTGGTTTAGAGAGAGAGAAGATGAGAGAGAAGAGTAACTCTCCACATGCAAAAAGGAATGAAAACATTCTAGCAAGATCACCTCCAGGTTTTAATTTAAATGTGTGCTTTAAATGCACTGTTAACCTTATTTTCTTTGTCCAAAACACACGTTCTCAGAACATTTAGCAAGCAGGCACACTACATGCTTTAACATAGCAACTAATACAAGTTATGGGTAAAATCACGGATCTTCTGAAGCCATGGAATTTACACTCAGTTCAATTTGCACTAGGATTTCATTTCCAAGCCTTTGTAAAAATGGATTAGTGAGAAGAGAGCCCACCTGACAAATTACTGAAACTTTTAACCTTCAGGAACTGCAGAAATCCCTGTTATCAGCTACAAAACAAATGTAAAAATACCCCAGATGATCCAAAATATCACAACTGTCATCAAAGCATTAGCACCTCAAGATTTAGAGTCCCAAACAGATGCCTTCACATTCTAAATGACTGACTTGAACAGGAGTAATTTCATTAGGATGCAAATGGCTTTGAACATTATCTCTAGCCTTTGAGTCCAAAATTATGGCACTTAAAACCGGCATCAATTTTGGCTGCTGATGAAAGGAGCAGTTCTACAGGTTTGTCATTCCTGACTTCTCCTTCCTGGTACTTCCCTTGGGCCAGCATCAGAGACACGAGCTGGATGCAAGGTTCTGCCACAGTTCACCTCTGAATCGCAGAGCTGTTGAGCTTCCAAAGCTCCCACAGACTTCAGCTGGCAGAGTGGATGCTGAAAGCTTTGAAAGGGATCTTGGTACCCAGAGTCTCTATTTGCACCAGAATGGTTCCCTCTCTCCATATAGGTCGGACAACAATAAAATCATTAATGTTTGGATAAGGGCAAGTTCACTCTACTAACAGCTGTGCTGTTGGAGATGCTGTCAAACACTGATGAAAGCCATGGGATCGCCTGAGGTAAACTTGAAAGAAAATCATCCAGATAGCTTTGGTAGTTAAACTACCAGTTAAACACTGACAGTTAAACTGGTGAAACTATAAACTGGTTTGTTGCCAACACTGTTGATCTTAGCACATAAATAATATTCAAATATCTTTCACTACTGTGGAGATGGTAGCCTTCTGTTAGAGGAAGCTGATGTCTTATGTCAGTCAACTAAATTGCTGTGAAGACTCTGAATTTGTTTTGCCTGTTTTACCTTTTCATTCATAGGCTCACTTCAACTTTTGTGCCCTCCCCATCATCAGCTGAATGCTTCACCTTCTTACTTTTGCATCAGGTGTTAGCAGCAGCAGTGATCAATCCATCCAGTTCTATTTACATTAGTCTAAGTACCAGGCGCGTTTGTGCTGTATCAGTAAAAAATTAAATTTTGTGAATGCTGTAATCTGTGATGTCACACTGCTCTTTGACAAACAAGCCGTTGGTGCTTAGTTTCAAACACCACTGCATAAAAGCCTTCTTCCTTTCCTAGGGTTGCCATAACAACAAGCAGAGCACTGTCATTTTGCTAAGTAATGACAATGACAAATATGTAAGAAATGCAAAGGTCTGGGGAACTGGGAGCAAGATTAGAGCTTCTCTTCCTGCCTTTACAAAACATTTTACTGTGGATTCATCTTCCAAATCCTAAGCTGTTCCTATGGGAACATGAGAAATAGCTGGTGTTAGTGCTCTGTGTTGCCTCATTTTTCAGAAAGCCAGCGTTCTTCTCGTGGATGCTTTGTCAAGAAATAGCACGGCATTAGTAATCAAGACTACAGGATATGATCTTGAGCTCACAAATGCATGCAAAAATCTGGAATGAATCCTAATTTTACAGTGTAATAAAGTGATAATGCTGTCAGACCTTCTTCTCTTTAGTAGGTAAGAAGGGGTTGCAGCAAAGATGCCATTTTATTGAATGAATAAAATCATGGACAGGTGACTCGAAGTCAGGAAACTATTATCTGAATAATTCTTCTATTAACCATGAGAATGGAAAGTATTTTCTTCTTAATTAAATCAAGAATAACACCTAGGACACCAACCAGAAAGATGAAGACTGACATTCTTACCACTTCATCGTGAAAGCTGTTTTTTCAGGTGATTTTCATTTGGGATCACTCAACCTCTAGTTTAACAGAAGAATTAATGTTATTTAACTTTTCCAGGTTGGGGGAAAGGCAGTCTTTTAGTGTACATAGCCGAAACAACATTTTCCTTTTGTATTCCAAAATGTCCAAAATGTAAGAATTCTCTTTTCTTGCCTACTACTCAGAACAGTTATATTTTCCCTGTGTTTGTTACATCTATTAATAAAAATGAAGTGACTGAAACTACAAGTTTTACCCTAAATGCATGGAAAACAAGAGTCATCCCTGGCGCTTCTAACTTTCTTCTAAAACCATCACATGTACAGTGGCTGTTCCACGATTCCAGTCTCCAGACACGATGATCATGACTCTGCTCCCAGCTAGACACTGTCAGTCATACACTTCCTTGACATAAGTACGAAACACCTCTCCAGTCACCCTATACTCCTGCCTCCTTCCAGGCTTGGTACAGCTTCTGCAGTGTTCTTGGAATCTGTCAGTCCAAGAAAAAATGGACTTTTATCCATGTTGAGCTAATCACCTCTCCTGCAGGATCTTCTGTTGCCTTGTTTCACTGTTTCCATAAACTCCCCTGAGATCTGTATGTCTGTACATACCAATCTTAACAGTTTAGGGCTTTAAGGGACTTTCTGCATCTGCCTTGGGGTTTTTATGCCAGTACAGAGGAGAAACAATAACAAATCAGAACTTCATCTAACGATACAATCCACAAACTGTGAAGAAATTGCATTTGTTAACAATCATTAATATCGATTTACTGTGACAACTGCACAGTATCTATGCTTCTCTTTTCAGAAACCTGAGATGTTTAATGATAAATGAGGTTAAAAAAAAAAAAAAAAGATTAAAAATCATAGTTAGTCCCTTAAACAAGCATTTGTATGACACACCATTTGTTTTAAAGCAGAACTGTCCCTGGATTGCAATGGGGCTGGTAAGCTAAATCAGGACATACTTGAATATTAAGAGGGAAAAACCTGTTGCTATAAAATTTAATGACAGCCCAACACCCACCTGTGTCTTAAACTACCTAAAACAGCATGAAAAAAATCGACCTCAAGTGCTTAATGGAATCAACCAAGGTTTATGAATGGGATGTAGTTGTAGTAATTAATCTGTCCATATGAAATAATTATTTTCACTTATTAGAAAAAATTGAAGTTGCGTAACAAGCATATAGTCGCATGACAAGACACAAAGCTAGGGAAGAGGAAATAAGTAGGCACTGTGAGATGGACAGAGTATCCCAGTATGTTTAATCACAAGTTTCCCTAATGCAACAAACATTGCTCCTTCTCTAGATGACTAGGTTTCCGCTACAGAACTTCAGGCACTCAAATAAATTAGTCAGATTAGATGGTGAGAGATAAGATGTCCCAAGTTCCCCAGAGAGAATTGTGATACATTCTGGAGGTGACATCTAGCGTATAACATGAAGTCTTTTATCATTATTTTAGTAATCACGTAATAAATCCAGCAGGCAAGTTCTGAGATTTAGATAGCCTTGAAACCTCCCCAGTCTCAAAATCCAAGTAATTTCGTAGTGATCTTGACATAATAGAAAACCAATAATTTCATATACACACATAAACCCCGTCAAGACAGGTAGACATAACTCACACAGGATCATACACCTGCAAAGAGTAACCACAATGATAGTTTAAAAAAATTCCTTCTTACCTGCTGCTGCTTCAGAACTGAAGCTATCTTTAACTACACAAGCTGGACTTAGGGGCAAAACATCATCATCAAAACTGATCAGATCTCCTTCCACATCTAATTTATTTTGCAAAGCAGGTGCTGAGGAGTTGGCTGCAGGTGACAATTCCCCCAGAGACTTGTAAGCTTTTTCTTGGGCAGATACAAGAGCCCGTGGGGGAGCAGCAATTGGTTTTAGTGAGGCCAAAGAAAGGGCAGGATTTTCTGCATAACGTGACTTTTTAGGAACAAGAGGCCTTGGAGCAGGAACAGGAAATTTCTTTTGTCCATCGGTGTTCTCTGCAACCGATCCACTCCTTGTATCAAGAAAATCACTACTACTACTTTTAACAAGGCCAGGTTTTGGCTTCTTTGGCAGTTCAGGTTTGGTTACAACACTGCTCCCAACTCCTTCAGGTTGAGGCTGCAATTCCTTGGGAGGTGTTGATTTGCTTTCTGTCCATGCGTCCCAGTCTCCCGAAATTCTGCTTACCCCTGGCTTTGGAGCAACTACTGGCTTCTTTGCAGTAACAGGTCTTGGAGTGAATGAACGAGGGGCAATTTCTGGCTTTTTTGATAATCCTGAGGTATCATTAGTTCCTTGGGATTCAAAAACTTTGATCCTTGAAACAATACTATTTTGGCTCTTTTCTGTACCCATGCTATCCATCGCCAAGTGATTGTCTAGTAAGCGATCATCTAAGAGAGGTGACTGCTGAATTGGAGGTTGCTGCCTTTTTGTGGTAGACTGGTTCACTTCTTCTCCGTTGTCTATCTTACTTTCAGTATTTTTGACCACATGTCTGACATTGCTTCTTGATCTCGGCTTTGGCACAGGACGTATCACAGCATTGGGATTTTCTTGGCACCTCTGACCTTCAGAAATTTCAAAGACTATTAAGGGATTCTCATTTTCTGAAGGACACCTATTCAGGAGAGATGCAGAAGGCCTAGGAGGTTTAAGAGGACTCTGCCCTGCTAACAGAAAAAAAAAGGTTTCAGTTATCTATTCCAGAACACTTTGTTTATGTTATTTTTTTGTCAGCCATCAGGATGGTAAACATGGTAGTTTTCCTTCAGAACTTACTGCTGCTTGTGAAACTGCAGTTCTCTTTCTAAAAAGATGAATGAAAAAACATAAGAACTCTAGGAAGAAACTGAAGATTGCTGAAATGCATGGTATCTACACGTTGTGAGTTCAAAACTACTTGTTAGCTTGCAGCATGAGGGACATGCAAGCAACATCTAGACCAAAGAATAGTACAGTAAATTCCCCAGCTTGGTTTGCACACTTTTCAGTCTGAACGTGTAACACTGCTGCTATTCTGGATTGGACATCTGAGCTCCTCCGGCCTCAAAGCAATTGCCATTATGGCTGAATCGAGCAAAACTTTCAAGATTTAACTATAGTCTGACCGTGAATGCAATGGTAGTTCTTCAGAAGAGAGGATTTTTACAGAAATTTAGAGCAGTAATCATTCACATAAATTTAACTGTTATTAATATTAAATGCTGCACAGACCAATAATAAAGAACATCTTCAGGAGACAGAGTAAGGTTTCCATCAATGAGAAATCCAAAACAGCCTCACCTAGACAGCCTGCAGGTTCCCAGTGTGTAGCCACACTAGTTTTTACATTACTTCCCGGCAAATGGCTGATTAGTTCCTCCGGAAAGTCAGTTTGTGTTGCAGAAGTAGTGGTATGTCTAGGAGCAGCAGCATTATTGTTATTTGTTGTATTGACTTGTACTTGATTGATTTCTTTTATCACCTGCTCATATGATGGTGGAAGCTACAAAACAGAGAGATAAATATTAATGTACGTCCAGATGTGATCCTTTTAAAAAAAAAAAGCATATAAATGTAAAAATACTAAATTAACGTATGCAGAGGAAAAGAACACTGTCATAGTCTTTTATTCAATGTGATGAAAGTCTAAACAAGCAAAAACTCTGTTCCTCTCTAACTTAACAAGCTTTTTACCTTTGTAAATCAAACACACCTCATGTAAATTCATGCTCACCTCAGCTGGAATATGCTCATTTCTCCTCCACTGAGCATGAGATGAAGCAGAAGGGAATCCTAATCCCTGAGGAGTGACAGGGCTTGCACCTGGAAACCAGGAGGATGGCCGGAGGGGTTCAGCAGCAACTATTGTAATTTCAGGACGCCTGGAAATGAAGGCAAAGGGGAATAATTACCTAAAACATTTTAAAATAATTCTTTTAAGTATAAAAGACCAAGGTTTTCTCGGCATGGGAAATCAAAATAGCTCAGGTCTTTTTGATTTAACCAAAGATGTTTTTCCATGATTTCAAAGTAACTTACCTGACCTTTCTAACAAGCACTTAGGCTTCCATTCAAAGCACCTAATTAAATGCCTAAGCCAAAAAGTAGGTTTAATGGCTTCAGTGAAATAATTTACATGCTTAAAGTACTTAAACACAAGTGTAACTCAATTAGATGGAAGAAGTCTTAGTCTTCACGGGATAATGAGAACTAATCATGTGTTTGCCCTTAGCCTGCTACAATGTGAAAGCAGTAGGATAGTTAAAATGGCTTCTGGCTGGCTACGTAAAAGCTTGTCTATCCTCAGACCTCTAGGGAAACCTCCCACTGCCCTAAAGTGGGGCAGAGCAAGCCTCACGAGGCCTTTGGGACAGGGCCTGTTTGCTTACAGCATCTAGTACAATAGGGACTTCTGTAGCAGCTAAGGGCCCATAGGTACTACCCCTGTTTTATCACCGTGACAACTGCTTTAGAGCTTAAGCTGCAGTAACGGCCCATGTTCCCAGACCATGGCCTCCAGAGTACCACTGATCAATCTAGAGTCTCACACAAAATACACTTTGAGAAGTGCATTTTGTGAGTAGATGAAGCACCTGCTACAGAAGTCTCTGTCTGCTGACAGAAAAAACCTGCAGAAGTGTAACTTCTAAAACTATTGTAGGAAGAATTAAAAAAGAGGGCTACAGTTCCTTCACATCTGAAATAATGGCAGACTCAGTTCACCAGTTATCCAGGTTGGTGACCTCCTTTCTCAATACCCTTTAAGAAACTGGAAGGAGGCCTGACAGTGTGCTTATTTTCATTGTGAAGTAATCCTGTAAATAGATGTCAGGAAAGTAAAACAGTTCTGCAGAGGTTTGATGGTTGGTTGCATTCTTTTTTTAAGGACACATACAAAAGTTGATGAGAAAACTCCTCAAACTCTTAACCTACATTTTGCTTAAGAATCACAGTATTTTTATTTTATTCCAAGTCTAATTTATTTTTAAACACATTAAGGATAGAGAGAAGGGGAAAAAAACCAAAACAACAAATTAGAGAAAGCCATAAAAATTAATACTGTGACACAATCTAACAAGTTTTACAGTAACACCTAATTGCAATATAAATAACAGCATCATACCTTCTATCCCTCTGCTGTTCGTTATGGCTAGAGGTCCGAGAAGCTATTTAAAGAAAAGAAACAGAAGTTTTGAAGAAGTTAAAATATGCTGTCACAGCAATAAGATGATGATAATAGCAGAGCCCTTACCAATCCACTATCAATGAAATGGAGAACATACAGTATCTGATCATAAATTCTAGATTTTAAGAGTGGCCAAGTTTAAAAAAAAATTATTTGTGTTAAATATGAGAAGTTTTTAAAAGGTTTAGGGTGCAGTTTCACAATCAGTTTAAGTTACTCTATGTCCAAGCTACGACCAAGAGAGATGGTCCCCTTTCTTCTTCCTCGCCACAAGTTCCTGCATTCTGCATTGTGGTGACCCTAGAGTTGAAACTTCTTTTTCTTTAGGTAAAACAATCCATGAATAAAACAAAAAGAAGTGTTAAACACATCTGGCTTTGCTTTTGATGGCTCATTTCTGAGATGTGTTCTTTAATTTTTTTTAATATCTCTTTTTGTTTGTTTTAGAGAAGGGAGAAGTACTAAAGCAGAAAATCTAAGAAGCTATTTCACCCTCCTTTATGTAAAAAGAAAAAATTAAATGTTCCCAGCTAGAAATTTCCTAAAGTTTAATCACTTGTGGACTAAAAGTCAGCATTTCTTTTTTTTTTTTTTTCCTTTCAAACCATGTGTTTCAGGTTACATAAAATAAGTGAATCCTGACCTCTTCATTTTTGTATTTTTGCCATATTTATATTCAAATAATTTTTTCAAGGGCCACATTATATTTTCATTTTGATTTCTTTAGAGAGAAAAGGAAATTATCCGAGGGACAAATTTTTGCATAGCAAGTGCAATTTAGGAAGTGGTAGAGTCTTATTGTCCAAAAGCTGACAATTATGCTATTCCTGTGCCATCACAGAATCATTAGCTGAAATCGGCAAAGCATACTTGATTCAGGAGTCGCATAATGTTGTGTCAGACATACCTCTTCCACAGGGCATTTTTGATATGCACTATTCATGAGTGCTAGAGGAAAAAAAGAAGGGGTTACAGAAGAGGAAGAGGAGGTGAAGGAGAACAAACCAAGGCTTCAGAGTGCCAGAAACCATGATCAAATGGGTTCGTCACGCAAGGATAAGAGCACGCGCCAGTGTTGTAAGAGGATAACTGTAGTGTCTATTCACAATATAGTGTCTTAAAAAACTAAAATAAAAGCAGATTTTATTTCTAGTCTCATGCTGATTTTAACAATGGCTGTTCAGAAGTTTCCCTTGCAATAAATTAACCATGAAGAATATAACTGAATATGGAAATGTCCACTGTATGGCTCAACAAAGAGCCACCGTAGGAATGAGAGGGAAGTCAAATCGCTTTGAATGCTTTATTTAGTTTAAAAATCATCGTTTATTTGGGTCTGTGTTTTTTCCCTTCCAAAAATAATGGGTTACACTGAGGCGTTGATACAGATGCAAAGAGGCTGGGATCCCATAATTTATACTCTCACCTACCAAAGAGGAATGGGCAGGCAGGTTGACCCCAATAAGAGGCACACCTCAAAGTTTTGGGCATGATTGAACATCTCCTAAACCAGTTGTGTAAAAATTGTTTGGCTAAAATAAGTAAATAAAAATCCCCTACACCTCACCTTCACTTTCTTTTTCAGAGATCCTAACACAGCATTGATCTAATACACTCATTAAAGAAAAAAAAACACCAAACAAACTGACCCAAACAACCAATTCCAAGATTACTTTTGCAAAGAGGATGGAAGAAAGTGTTCATTTGGTAAATGTATTCAATACAACTGCTTGGGGTATAGCCGAAGTACAATGATAAGGGCATTAGAAATAAAAACTAATTAATGAGGGATGCAAAACTGAACTGATAAACCTGTCAAATTCTTTCATTCTTTCTTCATTTCTAGATAAATGCTATATGCTGTTTTCTCCTGTGAGACACTAAATTCTATTTATTAAAGTTATTAAAACAAATAAGAAAAACCTAAAAAAAGTCTGAAAGACCTTTTTCCTTTCTTAACATAGGCAAAACACCTCCAGTGAGGCATCTATGTAATCCATCAAACTCCAAATTTCAAGTAAACAAGTAAACTCACTTGAAAACAACACATTTAAAATGTTTATATAAAGATAACTTTACTAGTAGATATAAATATGTCTCTTCAAAAGAGGTAATATCGAAGCCATCATATGTTTTCAGAATGTGCTCATTCTGTTTGGGGGAAAAAAAAAAATCTCCCCGGCATTTATGGAATCAAGCTACTTCCATGTACATAAACATTTAATAAAAACATTTATTTTTTAAGGACCTTGACAAAGTTCTTCCCTCCTTCCATCAACCACTTCCCTCTTTTTGCTGTCACATTTTTGTTACAACCACACTTTTAGAACATCTTTTGTTTTGGAAGTTCTTAAATCCACAGTAGGAGCAGAGGCGAAAACTACTGCATCTTCTGCTCTCACGTATTCCTTGGAGTTCTACAAATGCTAGGGAAAAGAAAATATAAACTTTCTAAATAATCCTTGCCCCCAGACTTGCACAGCTTTTATTCCCTTGCCATTTCAAAGAAAAGAATTTAAATTAAAAAGTGTATGAGAGAAGACATGAATTTTTAAAATATAGCACATACCTGATTTACAAACAAAAGAAAAAAACCTGCAGCCATTTTTCTGGCCTTGTGGTCTTTTGATCCTGTAAGTCTATTCTTCATTCCCTTTGTGGATTGCCTTGAAAAAGCATGCTATTAATTTTACCCCCAGATTTCAAATTATGACAGTTTTAAGATTTAAAAAAACTTTCTTCCATCAGGGAAGTCAATGGAAATGTATTTCAGTGCTGGTTTACATACTGACAACTGAAGACAGTTGGCTCCCCGACTTCCACACTAAGAAATGCTCAGGGTGCTAATTGTTGACATTCCCAGAAGCATATGCTTAGTGGTATTTAAGTAAAAGGTAATCAAAGCAGTTAAAGAAGGGGTGGGACAGGAAAAACTCAGTGCATAAAGTCCACACTTTTTCATCTTATAACTGTATTGGTCTCAGGGGAAAGAAAAAAATATCAAATCAACTCATAACATTGTCACTATTTATTTCTGTTAGTGTCAATGAGGCATCTAACTGTGTTTAACCTAGTATAATAGAATTTAAGCAAGTAAAGGATTAGTGGTAATACTGTAAATAGAGGACAGAGCAGTGACTTATAGATTCATTTTTTGTACATATTTCTTACAAGCACTATTCAGTGGGCTTTATCCAATTATTTTTGAATGTGCAGTGGTAAAGGGTACTCAGTTTGTGCTGTATACTTATGCTTCAAATGTTTTTTTTCCTCTACTGTTTCTTCTCTGGGTCCTGCTTTTCAAGTGCACTTAATATGTCATTTGTATTTGAAACACATACAGATTATGGCACAGGGGGCATTTTAAGCTATGCAATCAAGATGCCTGTATAAGTACAACCACCATTATACCACAAACCCATAAACTGCGATGCTACAGACAAGTTGGTGGCAACAGAAGTCTGACATGCACTTTTGAGTCTTTGGAAGAGAGCTGGGCTAGAATTTACAGTCTTTCAGGCAATCTTTCAAGGCAATATAGAGGCAACTATGAAGTTCATTCAGGGATCTGCTCAGAGATACCATCCCGCTGTGAGTACTGAGCATTTCCACAATATAGACACTGCACAATAATATTCCATTAGCAAATCTGTATGAAATAGCAAACAGTTTTGTCATTGCAGACTGTTTTAAAAGCAAGTTTCATTTTGCATTAAAGATTGGAACCACAGCCTCAAATAGCCCAAGCCTCGTCGGAAATCAAGCTCCAAATTTTTCTGATTATTTTTATCTATTGTCCCTTCCAGCAGCTGTGAGTAAACACAATCCTGCCAATTAACTGTTTCAGTTAATTCATATTAACTATTATTAATAGGTTTTAAAGTAATAATATCACTTTCTACAACAAGGACATGTGCTAATATTTAAAAACACAGCTTCTTTCAATGCTTTTCTAACACCGGGCTAGGCATTTCTACCATCAGTCCTATGAAATATGTAGACTATTAGACTGAGAAGTTATTTTTCTCACTATATAGCTGCCTAGGAATAAAAGTCATTCATTATAGTATCTCAAGGAGAGCCTCAAGAGTGGGCAAATGCTCCCTCCCTTACTTAAAAAGTAATACATCAGAAGAGCTGACAGAATGGTCCCATGTAAGAGGCCATGCTTGCGGTCTTTGCAATAGCAAAGGTGTTACATGGCTGCGGAGGCCCTTCTTCAGGGAACACTAAAAGGATCGGGTAATCCTCAAGCCAAAACCAGAAAAAAACATCTGATTTCACCCAAGATCTGATTAGACTATTTCTGTACAAGTAGAGGTTCAAACTAATTGGAAATTTTCATGCATCTCTGAAGTAAGAGAGTTGAAGTTTTTCTCCTGAACTATTTCTTGGCACAAGGGGGAGGTCTTGCTCCTTTTCTTCTAGTTCTGTTTCCAGGCACCTCAGGGAAATGTTAGGTCGTTTGACATTAGAGCTGGGCTGATTTAATGCTTGAATGTAGCTAAAAGAGATGGTGATGCCCAATTCCCCTTCCAAACACAGACTTTTGTCCCCTCTTGAATGAACATTAGCACTCTCATGACCCCACAGTAAGTGAGTTCAGAGTGTTCAATAAAAAAATAAGCACTTTCTGTACAGTTTTTGTCCACTTTATCTCCCTGAACATGCTCACCTTGGGCTCAGACCACCAGCAGCAAAGGGGAAGGAACATGCCACCCCCAACAGCAGTCTGTTTCCTGCCTCTGCTTCCCAGCTCCAGTTCTTCTTTGTGCAACTTCAGTGAGGGAACTGATCAAAAATAACCTAGGGGTGTGACAGGGATTCCTCTTCCCACCCCCAGTGAGGTCAAATACCCTTTTCACAGCAGACCAAACTGCTGGGCACCGTAGAGGCTGACATTGCTGCTGAATAAAATCTGCATAACTACACCCTTAGTGCAAGCCTGTAGTTTCACTCAAATTAGACAGTAATGATTTGTGAAGGCACTTCACTCCTTCCTACACCTTTCCTTGGGCTGTATGTTCCTGCCTCTGCACCATTCCCTGCATTATGCCAGCCCAAATGTTTGTGCAGATGGGGAGAGAATGAGGTCACGGAATTGATCTGGTTGGGAAAGAGTGGGAGCCAAAGGAACCTAGGAAGCTCCCAAGCAAAACAAAACAAAAATGAAAAACAAACAAAACCCACAGCCAAAAATGGCTGCAAAACTGCCAAATGGGAAGCCACAGCCTCAGAGTGCATACAAGCTGTTACACATCCTTCTTTCAGCCACATATTTGCTTAGGACAGAATGAGAATGGAACAAGCTTGCAGGTTCTTCCAATGTTTTAGGGCAGCAGACTTGTTTCTGTAGCCCTGCTCCTTAACACCACCCTATTCTGGAAGAGTGGAGAAGCGAGCGAAAACATCGTTCCCCTTTGTCTCACTACCGCAGCACTTGGCTTGCCTCTTTTTACTTTCTTTGGCATTCTTGTGCATGTTGCTGCGCTGGCGTCAATGGAAATAGTTTCACTGATTTCAGTGGGAGCTGGATTTAGTCGTGTGTCCTGGCCTGAGACCATCATTAAAAATCCAGGGGTAACTTTTGAAGAGTTGAGATTAAAAAAATTACTCCCGAGCACATCTCATGTTCACATCCTTGCTTTCTTCAAGCACGTTGGGCTCACTTTTCTGAATTCTACTGAGCTGTCAAACAACTGAAACAAAATGACAGCATCTTTCTATCCAGAGTTGTAGTCAGGGTGGCTGAAAGGAAAATAAACCCTCTTCCTCTTTGGCCACAAGACAGGGAAAGACTTACCGACACAAGGTCGTATAAAGCATTGTCCACAGGTTGGAAAGTTGAAACCCTGCACATACCTATCATGTTTCTTGAAAATTAGAGATAAACAGCACACAGAGCTGTGATTAAGAAATAAAGATAGATTTCTAACTCTGTTAGGGAAATACACTTTTCCAGAGAATACTATACTTTGTCCAGATTATCGGCAAGGGGGGTTAGGAATTATTCAGGGTCAATTTTTAATTTAGGTCTATCCAGAGGTATGGTTACTGGCATACAAAGAACTATGGTCTCATTTACAATGCTTTGATATGTGCATGGAGATTTTTTTCTAGCTTATCATCTGAATAATTCACATAGTACTTATATTTCATCATAGTTATTTACATATTAATATTATTAAGTATAATGTTATAACATATGAGCCAGGGCTTCTTGACTAAATTGGTTTTTTACTTGATTATACCTCAAAACAAGGTATCACTTGCTACTGTATTTTCAAAAACATAGATAACAATTGCTTAATGATCTTTTAAATGGTTTCTCAGTTAGACGAGGTAGTGGGGCTTAGGCAGTCTGAACCAACTTCTGACTCCACCACAAAGGGCCCTCTGTGATCTGGTGCCCTCTGTTTTCCAGTTTCCTATCTATGGCAGCACCAGCACAGATAAAGTGCTGCATTTTAACTACAGCATCATGTAGACTTGCTCTGAATAAAGCTTTCATGATCCCTTTTGACGACCTCCACCCTAATCCATACTAATGAACCCCTGACTAGTAGGTCCAGGAGAAACAAATCAGTAGCACATATACTAATTTATTTTTCCCCATAGCAGAATCCTCAGGGTTGTTTCATTAATATGAAATAGAAATCATGGACAGAAAGGAAATAAAAATGAAAAGCGGAAGAAAGAAACAGCATAAAATACTTTGGAAGATGCAGCTAAAGAAATTCTCTGCCTGGAAATATCATGAGCAGGGAAAGCGAACCAGGAGTTAAACGATGAAATCAGGGAAGAAGAGTTTGGACTCTCATTCAAGATTTATAAACAATTTTTTGTTTTCCAAAATGAGCCCGGTGCATGAGTCTAATCCTGTTCCCAGTATAGTCAATGAGCAGTTACTGCAGATTTCTACTAAAATACAATAATCTTCTGTTTTGTCAAATGAACTAAAAATTGGGCATATTCTTTAGAGATGGATCACATCTGTGCACAAATGCATTAGTGCATAAATAAGAAAATGTTAGTAACTGGCAAGAAGGAACAGCCCGTCAGCAAAGCAAAAAGATGGTCTAAAGTGAAGTAAAAAAGAAAAAGAGTGAGAAAAAAGTTACAGCCCCCCAAAAGCCTGCTAGCTACTTTGTTTTCACATATCAAGTTAACCAGTTACTAAAAACAAAGAGGTAGCAATCTTACAATATTATGATTCTCAAAAAAATAGGAAAAGTAGACTTACATCTCTTGATTGCTGCTCTTATGGATGACAAGGGTCCTTGGCTTAATGAAGAAAAAAATTATTACAATGTGGTTAATGTCTCAAAGAGAAAACAACTAAGTAACATCACGCAGAAATTCCCCGAATATTGTAAAGGGCTTGCCAAGTGCATTTTTCCCCTAGGTTGTTATCTTACAGAAACTTGTCCAAAACTCCTGGAGTATACAACCATACCCAACCCCTTCTAATGAAAACCAGGTTACAGCTTAGCTGCAAGACTCTGCAAAGATAGAAAGCCAATTATTATAACCATTTTTTCTCTCGATTCTGTGTTGAAGTTCACGTTCTGTCTCATTTGACAGGAAAACTTGGAGAAGAGCCCATGTGGGTGTGCATATTCTCAGATTATAAGCATTTAATGACTTAACGTTCTTGTAAATAAATAAAACTTCCACAGCTGAGTAAAAACCTACAGCCCCTTTGCTAAATATTTTTAACAATTACTTAACAACTTATCTTCCCTTTCAGTTGAGATCGCATTTTTCAGTAATAACTTGGTGGGTGGGGTTAGACAGGAAGACAACATGACCAAAAATTTGTTGATACACAAGGACAGAAAAACGTTTCCTTTTGCCAACTCATCCGTTTTCTTGGTAAGACTAAGGTTTCTGATGCCCCTCTTCTGAAGCTCTTATTTAACAGATATAGCAGTCCTTGCTATTTTTGCAGGTAAAAATAAAAACTGACTTGGGATTATCATTTTCAGAAAGTGTTGCTAACTTGAAGAACATGTTATTAATAACCTGCCACTTGTGCAAAGCTACAGAAGAGATTAAAAAAAACCACACACAACTACTTCAGAAAAGGACTTTTTTGCTTTTTTTCTTTTAAAACACAACAGCTAAAGAATGCTTGCTGGTGAGAAGCCTCTGGAAGTGCTGAATAGTCTTTTTAAAGGCTGAAAATAAATAGAATATATCTGGTTCAAATTAATACCATATCTTAATTACAACAGAAAGGCATACTAATCAAGTCTTTTCCGGAAGCCTTCCACCACAGCCTTCATCAGTGTGGTATAAGCAGGAATGTTAGTACAGGGAGGGCATTAGCATTTTAACACTGCTCTCTCTCTGCCTGCAGCAGGTGTGCAGCACACCAACTCTGTCAGGGCTCGGTTTAGCTCCACATGCACTTCCACTGCAATTGCTGATGGCTGCAATTACTCCAGTGGGATGAAGAATAGGGGGATTTGGAGGAGAGAAGAAAGAGACAGTCAAAAAAGACGTGGATGAAAAATGTCGTCCCTCTACAGTCATTCTGAAAACTAATTAAGACTAGAAATGAATGTTGCTCTGACTGAACTGTTTTCTGAAATAGTTTGGCTAGTCTAGGATAAACAATGCCTATTTGTCTGGTTTCAGAAACAGTTCAAATGTGGCTTGGCCCCTATCCACACAGCTAGCAAAGCTGCATTAGAAAACATTTCTATCAGTCATATTTCACTCATGCATTCTCAGTAGAAAGGGATTCTAATTTTCCTTCAAAACGTCCCATCATAATACAGCCTTATCTTTAAGAAACACTTTTAGTTGTATGTTCCTCCCAGATGTACCCCAGACTCCTTTTTCAATTCCCTGTAACTCAAGTCTCTTTCTTTTGGATGTTCATTTTTGAAGCTTCATTCTTCTGCTTTCATTGCTGTGAGCAACTACAATCTTTAGGGTTTCATTTTAATCATATTTAGTATCAGACAGGAAGGAGACTGAAGTCTGGTAACATGAATCTGAAATCTTCTGGATTTTCTGGGAAACAAAAACTTTCTATACTCAGAATTCAAGATTTACTTAAGTTTTATAGCAGGAAATTAGGAAATCTATAAAGTATGCATATTCAAGTAAGAATCAAAAGGAACAAGTTAAGTTCTTTCTTCTGCTGGCAAGAGACCTTTGACCCATTGCAATTTGCCTCAGAATCTGATGAGCACTTTCAGATACGAGCAGTTATTTTTGGCTAGAAATCATAGGATTCATCACGTAGGCAAATGTTCAAGTTTTCCATGCAACATGAGGACCAAAAGGGTATAGAAAACGATTTTCAAAATCAAAATGCAAAGAACAAAGCAAAAAATTTCACGAAACCAACCTAGTGAAGTATGGATATATCAAGAGCAAGGCAGTTCAAGTATGCAACTATCCATGTAGTTTAGAATCCAGGATAACGTGGTTCTGTTAGAAAATTTATGGGCTCACAGGCAAAACAAGCTGTTAGCAGATAGTTTTTCTTTTCCACTTTCCATTAACAGGTCACCCATCAACAACCTTTTGGCAAAGCACTACATTTCCTACCTGCAGGAGAGTTTGATTCACATTTAGCTTACAATTATTTAAGCCCTTTAAAAACATGGAAATGGGAGTGGATGTAGAAATTTTTTTTTTTTCCATGAAGCTCTGTAAAGGAACTGCAAATTCCATAACTGTTTTATACACTAAACCCCAGTAATTTAAATAAAATGCTGTTCTTGGGGCAGCTGGTGATTTTGCCCATACCTTATGCTGAGCTAACCCCTCCCTGTTCCACAAGCAACAACTTCTGGTCTCTTGTCCTGGCTTGCAAAGAGAGAAGTGATAAGGTTACTAATGTCTTCCTCTGCTCCACAGTTAATGACACATTTTCTCTCAAGCCATCCAAATAATTAACATAATCAAATTGAATTTAATTCTCCTATTTGATGAGGTAGGAGCTGCAGCAATTACTCTACTGTATGGAGTCCCTGCCTCTTTCTCACCTCCTCCTGTCCATAAGGCACAGCAATGAACCAGAGCACACACAAAATCCCCACAAATGCACATGTCAAGGAAAAATGAAGAGGGAAGAAGTTTAATCCACGTGGGACCTGATCCTGGTCCCGGTGCAACTCCCTCGACAGTTACATCAGAACACCTGAGAGGACAGCATGACAGTAACTAGCCCCTGAGGGTGGGGGCCAGCAGCTCCTGTGTGCCCTGCAATGTACATAAGCAAAGTCCAAACTCATATTGCTGGAAGAAAACCGTGCAGACAGCAGAAGTTTCAGAGCATTAGAGACTCTGATAAACATTAGCTCCAACACCACCCCAGCCATACCTAATATGGAATAAGTAAAGATGCAAACTATTAATCCGTCCCACACACAATTTAGCATGCAGGAGTGGACAACCAGAGCAATTCCTCTGACATCTGCACATTTATCCTAGACCTCACTCACTCTTAATTTAAAGCACAAACTTTGTTTCATTTCCAGCTAAGGCAGCAGTTTCGTTGAGCTTCACCTGCCAGCCCCTCAAAAGGGGGAACTAACCTACCTCTGTCGGTCCCTCTGCACACCCAAACAAACCCACTCAATAGGTTCAGAGGGCATCTGTAAGCTGCTGTACCTGCTATGCTGAAAGCAGTTGGGTACTTTAAGTCAGCAGTAATATGGAAAGGGTCCCATGGGTCACAATTTCTGAAAGATAAAGAATCTGGCGTGGTGTGTTTGAAGTTGTTAAACACCTACTCACTTTTCCTGGCAGGCTTTATTCTGGCTTTCAAGGACAAGTTTTCTAGATATAAACACCTGAGGAAAACGCTTCAAAAGCATATTTTAGGTCTGTGTATTGGGGAAATAAAATTGCCACAAACTAGACTGGACAAAGAGCTGTAAACTGTTTAGCAGAGTAAGTGCACTTACTGTGTATAAACCATGGTCTCTCCCTCATTAGGGGCTCTGCTCCAACACTTTTACTTGCACTGAGCAGTGTCTCTCTTCAAACGCAACTTCCGTGTAGCTACAGTATTTCTCAAAGGCCCACTCCTGCGGGGTGACTCCTGACCCAACACAGTGACCGTGCGAGTATCACTCACCTGAACAGTCCCCACACAGCAGAGGAAGGGAGGTGCTGTTCAAATGGAATAAAGCTCAAATCACACAGGCATCTCCGAGCGAGCAGGCAGGGATTTGTGTGTGCCCAGAGCAGGACAGCATTCAAGTCACACGTTACCCGAGCAAAGAGACCAGGAGGATCTGGGCTACCTTTTCACCCACATGTCTTTTAGCTGTTTCAGGAGCACCAGTGGCTCCAGCCACTGGTGCCGTTAGGGCACCTCACGGACATGTTCCCACCAGCCGGCTGCTGGTGAGCCAGCTCTGCTGATGAGCGCAAACAGGTGGAGGAGTGCTGGGCTTTACCTGCCTCTGGAGAGCACAGGCAGTACTGGCTTGTGACTGCTCCCTCCTGCCTGCGAGCATACCTGTAGCCATTTAGGGGGGTCTCCCCAGGCTATCTACAGTCTTCTGCCCTACGGGTTGTGGTAGTGCTTGCGATACAAAAGACATCCCAAGCTACGGTCCTGTCTCAGCATCTCTCCTTCAACCACTTCCACCAGTCTCCTATTGGCTTGCATGGGATTCTCAGCAGGAATCGAGCAATCCTCTACAACGCCTCCTCCCTTTATCAGAACCAGGACCTTTGTTTGGTTTCTTTATCTAAACTGACATAACAATGAATATTCTACAGGAAAACTGGTTGCATTTCTTTCATACACCACTCTAGACATACACAAAAGCCTGGTGGGGGAAAGAAAAAAAAAAAAAAGAATGATCACTTGTTCTAAAAAATGAATATACTGAAGCATCCTTCATGTCATGTTATACGAGGCTTTTCTTAAAGTATCAGTCCTTAGGTTTACACACCTGCATAAAAGCTTTTTAACATATTTTTAATTGTGATGGTTATCGACCCTGTCTTACACACACACACACACAAAGAGTAAAAAAAGTTAAAATGTTGCTATTTTTAATTTCTTGTGACTTCTTGGAATGTGAGCCAAGAATTTTTAAATAGTTGATGTTGAAATTACTGCGAGGCAAAATACTAGCTTTATTAATAAAAGGCATCATATATTCCTCTCAGTTACTTTAGAAATCATGCCATCTTTATAACAGCCAGTGTACTCCAGTGTAACATTTTTAAAACTTATTAGAAGTCAGTATTCCAAACACAAAATGTTTAAAATGCCACCTAAATGATTTTGCTGCAGACTG